TCTTATAAAGATGACTTAGAATATACTTATAGAATATCCAATAAAAATGAAAAGCAATGCAATTCATTTTTAACATAAACTTTCAATAACGGTTTATTAAGTGTTTTAGAGAGATTATCTTGAAACAATTCGCAAAAATTGCTTCTTTAATATTATTTGAAGTAATTCTACAATCTTCCTTGACAGCTTCTCTTTTTCCTTGATAGTCACAAAAATATTAAAAACGTTTTTTACTTTTGAGAATGCATGTTTTCCATGTAAAAATACAGCATCGGACAAGTACAACCCTACTTTTAGCAATATTATTTAACTTAATTTCCGATCAGAGAAGTACACCCGTGCAATTCACTCTCATAGAATATGAAATAATTAGTTTAATTTCGTATACAGTTGCAGATTTTGCATGTCTCTGAACAGGTGGGGTAGTACAGTAGTAGAATAGTATATTGAGTAGTATTTATAAGCGCTGAACCAATGAAAATGTAATCAAATATTTAAAAATAACTGATCTTTTAGATTTTGGTGTGAAAAACGTTTCTTTGAGACCTTTGTGGTTTTGAAGCTCTTTGACAACAAATTTTGACAATGCTGTCAAGTGTTGCAGGTTGCATTTGACATGAATATTTGTGTTGCGTTTTTAACAAATATTTCATATTTTGAAATTAAAGTACAATTCGTCACGTCTCCATGAATTTCTCTTTTTTGAAACCTTATTTATAAAGATTAGATGAATGTGAGAGCCACAAAACGTATGTATGTTACTGAAATAATATAGGAGACGATTGAAAATATATAACCCCCATTCAAACGTATCTCGAATCATCGCCAGCATCTCGACAAAGATAACATTAAAGGTTATCTTATTAAACGTTCACTTATTCACTTTCCAATCCGGTACAAGCAAATTAATCTTTATTCGATGTCAGCAAATTCATGAGAAACACTCGTGTTTGAAGTGAACCCTCTCAAACGAGTTACGAACGCATTGGAATCATTTCCATCTCTTTCTGCCCTTGGCTGCCACCGCATCCCGTGTCCAGCATCTGTTACCGCGATTACCATCAGCGCTGCTGCGCAACATGCGGCGAACCTGGAGTGGGGAGTCGGGCAGAGGGTGGGTTGGGGCAACGGGGGTGGGTTGGAAGCTCGCTGAAAATCCACCTCCATTTCAGGCAGCCAAACCGCGCTTGCTCCAACCCGGCCCACTCGATCCACGAGTTTGCCTATTGATCATGATTTGCATGTCTGATGATCCAATCAATCCATCAGTTCCTTCTTTAGTAACTAATATGTTACAACATAAATAAAAATTATGTTGCCTATGATGTTACTGTTCATAACTCTTGCAACAGCTACCCTCAATATTCAAACTAGTACATTTACCTCTTTTCACACGTTCGTCAACATAAACATTAACAACAGCCTGCAGACGTCAACACTGGACGCTAGCATCATCATCGGTACATTCACCATAACTTACATCGTTGCCAAAAAGACTAACACCGACACCTTCCCAATTTCGCTAAGACCGGTAGTGCCGGAACCGCCTTCAAAAGTTTGAACTAAATCGTAAACTGCACCAACATCTATCTTCAAATGTATTTTTGTGTATTTCAAGCAGAGACACTAATTTGGCCACCACCCAATGTTACATTGCGGAGGATCAGGTATACAGCTGATAAGTAATCCCTCGCCATAGTTAAATGTAGTTTACTGTCCATCTTATTTTGATACGTTTCAGTCACGAGTCTTTAAACATACATGGTTTATTCAACTCGAGAATAAACAACTCTCATTGCAAAGAAAATGTGACGTTAAAATAATACAAAAACAATCACCCGAAATCCATATCAAAATATAACAACATTCCTCACTCCATCGTGTGTAGATTCATAAAAGACGTGTTTCTGGCACATCATTCTGTTGTTTTTCCTGCTCATGTTGTAGAAACGCAAGAGATATTTTTATTGTGCTGATACGCAACAAATTGAAATGGGCGTAAAATGTTTCATGATTCGTTAGCTCACTCTTTCCTACTCTACTATTTTCAACCCTTTTTGCCTCCACCACAGCCACAGCGGCGGCGTCCTGCTCACTAGCTGAATCCCCTGCACTCCATCCGTCGGCGCCCGCCGCCGTCGACCCCGCCCCCCCGCCCCTCCGCCCCCTCTGCCATCCCCGCCGCCGCCCCCGACATCTCCGCCCCCGCCGCCCGCGCCGCCCCCGCGCCCGCGCCGCCCCCGGCCGCCCCCGCCGCCCCCGCCGCCCCCGCCGCCGCCTCCCCATCGCCCGCGTCCGAATCGGATTTCCGCCCTAAACTCGGTTTGCCGGGCGAGTTTAACCTTATTGCATACGAGCCGCGGTAAACAAGCTGTCACCGCAAGCAGAGGGCGCGCGCGGCACGGCGCAACGTCTGGAGGTGAGGCGAGGACGGCAGGCGGGCCGGCGAGATAGGCGGGCAGGTACACGCCGCTCGGGAGGCGATGGGAACGCCGAGCGCCACGCGTGAGTTGGTGACCCGACGGTTGCAGAATTCGCGACACTAACCAAACAACTAAGACGAATTCATCGCTGTCTGGAAAAGTCTACCTGCTGTTCTGAACGGGTAATTTTTCCCATCAACACCAGGTGAATGCCAGAGCACTACCCTAACAAAAGGGCCACGGACCGCGCGCGATCTTTCCTTCCTCTTTCTTGCCCTATCTTCACCCCTTACTTACTACTAGATTCATGCGTTACACTACCACTTATGACAAGTGATTAGCCGCGAGCTTAGGGCTTCCTAAGCTGGGGCGGGACACCGCTGGTGGAGACTTCTAAACGGAGATATCCACCCCAAGGCAACATGTCGGTCGCCACCGCTTCTCACCATCCAGCGAGGGAGGAACCCTGTCCGCAGTAAAACAGTTATTACACGAACGGGAATAATGATCTTAGTAGTTGTGCCGGAAACATCAATATATTCGTTCCTATCCCCTCTCCCGTTCCCAGTCCCTCATTCCCTCCTTACTACCGTTGCCAAGCATCCCCGATCCCCCCCCCAAATGTCACTCCTGTTCCGCCCCAGCTAGCGCCCCAACATGGATCTCGCCTCCAATATCGCTCCTACCTTCAACATCGACCCTACTTCCAACATCGTTCGTGCGTCCAACATCGCTCCTTCCTCTAAATTCGCTCCTGCCTCAAACATCGCTCCTGCCTCCTACATCGCTCCTGCCCCCAACATCGCTCCTGCCTCCAACATTGCTCCTTCCCTTCCTCCGCTTCAGTCCTAAACCGTCATCCGACGGCGCCCCACCCCGCTCTCGCCCGCTGCCCCGATCCGACAGAGCCTACCTTTAATCATCCTCAGCCGCCAAGGAGCTTACTCCCGCCGTCGACCACGCCCACTTCTCACTTCAGATCCTTCATCTCAGCCACCTCCCGGCGCGTGCGTCTCCTGCGTGCTGGTCTACGCTCGTAAAACGTGACATAATACAAGTCTGTCTTTATTATTTCTTGGTATTAGAATGAATTTCTCATTTGGTAGCAAGTTTTCTCCTTTTCAGTATTTTCTTCACAGTATCATTTGGATTATTTTCTGTGAAATCGACATATGTGGTGAGTTTATAGCTTAATTTAGAGTAGAGTTTGTAATATTTTAAATTACTTCGATCTTGAAATACAGGAAGGGTTTAACGTTTGCAATAAATTACTGGGAAAAAATAAAAAAGATATGTGTTGGTTGGACTTTTTGGCTGACGTTGCTGGAGTGTATAATAAGAGAGTGAATAATAATGACCTCTCTTTCGCTCGAAATCGCGAATTACAGTCTTGAAAAATGATAAAAAAGAGATATGAGATCTAACAGAAAGTAATTGGATCGTGGTTGAAATTGTGAATGAAATTTAAGAAAGCAATCTAAGTGCTCATTTTGGTTTGCAACTCAATAAAAAGGAAAGTATTTTACTGAGATTGTATTTTTTTTACTTTCCTTTTTTCTCTTACTCTTCCTCCCTTCGTTGTCTTTGCTTCACGTCCCCTTTCCCCCTCTTTCATTTATTCTTTTTCATTTTTTTTCTCATCTAAGAATTGTCTTCTAATGTTTTAGAATTATCTTTAGAGTTAGCTCTAGCCTTCAGAATTGTCTCCTTTTTTTCTTGTTTGTTTAATTCTCTCCTTTTCTCCCTTCTTTTAGAAACTATATGCTGTTCCTGATCCTACGTTAATCAGATAAATATTTCTTATTCTTCCACCTTTTTAATGAGAAATATTTGAGCCTCCTTTTTTCTTTCCTGTACATGATAAGACAGCTTCTTTTTCTTCATTGGGACCTATGTCATATCCTGTCTCTCAGCCTCCTGTTACCCTGACATCTTCAGAACTTGAATACTTACCATCAAGGAATGCGTATCACTTTCTTTCTTTCTTTATTAGCTTAAAAGACTCGGTGGTAAAATGTTCACCGTCACAGCCCTCTCCGTGATGGTAACCATTGCATTAATTATAATTTCAGTCGTATTTGAACAGAATTCATGAGGGTGTATTTGAAAGTATTCATACAAGTTCTTTCACCGCGACTATCATTAAAAGATCGGTTTCAACGTAATGTGTCGTTTACGAGAATAAGAAAACAGAGCTTAGAAATTACTGCTATCTGCATTAAACTTACTGTCAGTAAAGAAGATCAGTGGTTTCTCGCTTCCGAACCTTCCTGACCAGAGTTCACTGACCGTTTACATTTAACAGGTGGCTTCCCGCCTGTGGAGAAAATATATTTCCTGCGGATGAAAGAGATAGGCCAAAGGAATTTGGATAATTGCTCAACTGCCCAGTATACGAGTATTTCAGAAAAAAATTATGTGACACTACTACATACCTGTCATTCAAAGAAGCAGGACTACGTGAATAAGAACATATTTGAATTATATATTCGTGTGCGTGTAATATATACATACACTCGTTTATGCTCAATAATTGTCATAATCTCAATTTATCTCCCCTTTTCACAACACTCGTTACTACAAACCTGAAAATAAATAATATTACTTCAAATCCTTCAACAAAACACCCTGTGAATAATCCCAGTCTCAATTCTTTCTACAATTCATTCAGAACTTCATCTAGTACACGAGAGAGTGACAATGATTCTATCTCTTATTTTTCGACGTACTAACCAAATTCTGATGAGGGATTAGCCAATTCTAAAAAGTGGCAACACTGATCAATTTAAATGAACGTATATTAAAGCTTATTTATTTGTCTGTGTGTTCTGTGTGATTTTCAAATTTCAACGTGGAATGAATTACACGTGTTTGTTATTGATGTTTACAACTTGTCGACATTTCAGCCCAAGAATCAAACATCCTCTATGTATTACACAAGATAACCTAACTAATTAACATGATGTCTCTTCTGTTCAGAATCTTGTTTCTGAGACAATGTGAAAACAAACTTTAATTGGTGTTCATTTTTGGTTGTTTAGAAGCGCAAAAGCAAAAAAAAATAATAATAAAATCTTCATTTTTTAATGTTATCACTTTGATGTGACATGTTTAATGGGAATCTCGTTTCGTTTACGTATCATATCAACTCCTGAGCAAAATCTTTTTTTTTCCGGAAGAGAGACAACAGAGGAGAATTAAAAAAGAAGAAACCGATCTGCAAACGCCTCCAGCCCGCATGCATTTTTATGTGGCGTTATCAGACTTTTCACAACGCGACAGCTCAAAAGTCTCTGAAGAATGATGAACTATTCTGGCTAACGCGAACACTCGCCGACAAAATTTTTGATCGTTTGAAGTTTCGATTTTTGAAGAAGAACGCCGTTCATAAACTCAACCCAACAGAAGCTTTAAGGTTTTGAAAACATTGTACACGTTAAACACAACTTAACTAATGTCTACTAGATCAGATTGCATATAACAGGTCGAGGTTAAAGTAGGGTACACAGTACACCCTTGGAGAAGTGTAGTGGCGAGGAGGGAAGGGGGAAGGAGGGAGGGGGAAGGGCGTGGAAGGTGGATGAGGGGAGCTCTGACATAAATGAAACTTACCGATAGGCGATATTTATGGCGGTTTGACTGACAGTTTTATAACCCAAAGATTGGTCATTACTAATTCATGAATCATACTCAACTTGCTTCCCGCAAATTATGACTCCTTCCTCACGGAACACTTACGCACAAGAGGAGTGGCCCCTTTTTTTGCTACACTTCCACTCGAAACCATCACACAACTTCTTTCGCTTGGCCAACCTCATAGGTACCTTACATACAGCACACTTAAACCCTGCCGGAATTCTTCTTTGCACAACACATCAGGGCCAAGACACAAGTAACGACAAAAAATATCAATAATTCTGGCATATAATATTGGGCTGCACATAGTGGAAAAAAAAATTTGTAAAATTCCTTACTATGCGTTAAAAGCTTAAATATAAATTTATTTAGTAATAAAATTAATTTAATTCATTACTTCTTTATTACAGTGCCAAATTAGTGTTTTATTGAGACCGGGTCTTTGCGCCCCACTAAGTTGAAAGTCGCAAAATCGGAACTCCGTGCATCGAAGGGTTAATTATCTTTAATTTACCATGTATAGAATTTTGCTTTCTTTTTACTTGGTTTGTAACGTACGCATAAAAGAACAATTGTTGATTTTTGTAATATTATATTATATTCACCAAGAACTAGGTTTTGGCAGGAAAAATGCACATTTTTATTTTAAATTTATTCTAGAATTTTTTAACAGCCCTTACGTTTCCCTTGTTTTACATTGCACTCATTATTTTCTCTTTATTAAATATTTTATTAAAAGTTGTTCTATTAATTATTCTATTAAATTATTCTATAAAAATCGAATAAAATATTGAAAGTAGTAAATAATATTCCTACAAAAGATCTCATGTTTTCAAAGTTCTAAATTAAAGATTGGTGAATTTCTTCAGTCTGAAAATAAGCTTGTCAAAGCCAAGACAAAACTATTGCTTTTATAGAGAGTAGGATGTTCCAGTTCAAACGTTTTCCAAGGGAACCCACATCACACCTCTGTAAAGCTTTGCATATAACAATTTCGTTCCACGGCAAAACCAACTGATACCGTAATCTATTTGAAAGGCATACATCATCCACCCTGTCACACACAGTGTAAGACCATTTTTGTCGAATTGAACAGGGCGCACCAGAACTCTCAACTCACGCGAAAAAACATGAAAACATATCACGTGTGACAAAACCCACGCCGCATCCCAACGAGTTCAACACCACAAAGTAGAAGCAGCGTATATCATAAACGCGATTTATGGCGTGGATTCAAATCACGTTCAAAACGCAGTGTTACGTACTACATGACAAAAGAGGACAGCTCACACACTCATCATGTCGTCCTCGGGGATCGAACGCATTTTTTTTCCAACTCTCACACACACTTTATCTCACTTTACCATGTATACGCACATTTACATCTACGCAATGCATTCCGTAGGTCGTACTTTATACTGAACGCTATGATATGATGCATATGGAATGTAGAGCGAGTAAGCACGTAAGGTGAGGTTTACTGATGCGTGATACACCATCTGGAAAGAACAAAATTGTGCTCCATTCATGTAGTATAAAAAGTGATGTTTTGATGAATTTCTACCCAGTTTTTAAACAAGCAATTACTTAATAAAATGTAATGTGTTTGGATGCAGTTGTTAAAATTTGGGCATCCTTTTTAAAAATTATATATTTTGAAAAGCATTGATTTTTTTCATCAACTTGTACTACATTTTCGATGGAAGGCAAATGCGCCAGCCAATGCGGCACTAAATCTAATTCCGATAAATCTAATTAACTCCTAATAACAAACTTTAACTAGTGGTGCTATAAAATGGCACAAATTTTCTCGTACTAGTTAGTTTCCTCTTCAGCCTGTGCTCTCTCTGCCATTTCACCCCATCGTCTTTGCTGTCATATATCGGTGCCTAAGCACTTTATTAAAACGATTTAGCAGCAAGAAGGGTAAAATCTCGCCATATGTACACATTTTACTCGCAAATGCGATAATGTATAGCACATCTCTATAATGTAAGTATTGAAAACATGAGAGATATTTCAATTTTTTAAAATTTTCCAAAAAGCAAGAGAATACATCAAATTGGCATTTATTTCATGTTCTTCAATCCACTACTCATAGCAAAAATTAAAAGAAAACAGCGAGATCTTTTCGAAAAAAGTGCGTTTGAACGTTTCTGAAAATGGAAAATTTTGATCTCCTTTTCGCAGAAAACTTTCAATTTTAGACAAATTCCATACAAGATTTAAAGTCCTTGAACTCTCAAGTGCAATAACAGACACAAATTGTTGGTAATGTACGTTTTGAGCGCCATTTTTCAAAAAATTCAAAAATGTCCCAGGAGGCTTCATGTAAAGTACTCCCAAAATTTAAGGGAGGTGTTGCAAAATCTCAGACCTACGAGTTGGCGATCGACCGGAGAATATTCATTTTGAAAATAATCCTTCGATGAGTTTAGACGCTAGTGTAGTTTACATACGGACAGAGAGACGTTTTGAAAACAACACTTTCAGTATCAAGTGACCCCAAAACATATTTCTGTTAATATCTCGAAATATTTCTTCTAAGGCATTACATAACGTTTTCTCTACTAGGTATATTACTTTGTATATGCGTACATATACGATAAAGAAATCAAGGACGAATTCTACGATTTTTGACCCAAGTTGTGACTGGAAGAAATTCGTCTTTACTACTCCACGTAACGTATCAAATGGTCTTAGTAAATTTTTTCCTGTCAATTCAGCTATATGTGAGAACAACTTGGATGATGAGAAGGCAGTTTCATTTAGACGAAAACAACGCCAAAACAGATGTTTCCACACTAACTACACATCCTCTACCTACTACCTCTAGTGTACAATATGTATTTAAAGCCAACCTCGGTGACTTCTGAGAGAGATATCGAATAACCTCTTACCTATCACCTCGTATACTGGTAACGAAAATACTTAAACTGATGATAATGCACTCAAAGGAAGAAGAAAAATGATATAATTCCTTAAAATAAATATCAAACAAAAGGTATTAATAATTAGAAAATTATATTTAAAAATCTTTATTACTTCACTTTGTCAATAATAAATTATTCTTAATAAATAATTAAATACCTTAATTCATTTTCACAACAAACACAAGTGACACATCTCGAAAATCGTCATTTTTTAGGTAAGTACGAAATATCTTTAGTCTATTTTACTAGAAAAATATTTCACGAAGATAGTTTGCGAAACAGAAGAACTAGATACTTTGAATTTTTCTAAGAAATAAACGTCTGTAATCAGGAAATAACCTTTCTTTTGTGAAGTGATAAATGTAGATGTGTCACTTTTCTTGTGCACCGATGAGTTGAGAGTTTCATTTTTGTAAAAAAAGTTTTATACATTGTTATTGGGGAAAGGGGATGTGGGAAAGGGTATTGTGAGAAGTATGATGTTTTGTTACCTTCTCTCTAGTGTCGCACTTGTCTTTCGAGTAGAACGACACATATTGGAGTTATCTTTCAAGAAACATTTCAACCTTTTCAGGGGTACCACGTGATATTTTCATGTGTCAAAATCACATAGCAAATCACATCTTCAGATCTTACAACATTTGTGATTTCCGGAAATGGTTGTCATGAAATTATACTGTTTTCTCCTCTTTGTAGTCTTCATTACTAAGGATACACACGAACATGCGGGTCTTGTCTAGTCTGACTCGGGCCAGTCATAAATCTGTCGCCCTCTCATTGCTCCCACAATGACGATGGTGACAGTTTTACAACTACCGTAATACTAGCAAACTTGGGAGATGGGCTTGCTCGTGTATAGCCATGGTAAGACATATTTTCGTGCCTCGTTAGCAAGTGCACTTCTGCGGCCGGCGAGTGGCGATGGCAACGTGGAGGGGCGGCGGGGGAGGGCGGCGTGGAGGGGCAAGCAATGCGGGGCGGGGCGCGGGGACAGTGGGGGACCGGCTGGGATAACCGGGGGCAGGGACGCCGGGATGGAAGCCAGGCTTGTACTCGCATTGCCCGTAGGACCCGCACCGCAGGCCAGGTCCACATCGCGCGTTGTTCGGCACGAAGAATCGGCACTGCTCGCCGCACTCTGCGGAAGAACAAGTCATGGGATTAGGAATGCGTTTCAGCAACAGGTCGCACAACGCAACTTTAGCCTTCAAAACATGACGTTCTGGGCACCTAAAACCATTACCCATTGAATAGATTAGCCTTACTTAAATCATAAAACAAGATGTTTGTGACAGCTAAAATAGATAATAAAATTATAAATTGAGTCATAAATATTTAATTTTAGGCATGTAATATTATGTATTTTGCACGTAATGTAGGAAACAAAATCATTAATGTAGACTTATTTAAAGATATTTTTTTCAGAATCGCGTATACTTTTTTAAATTTTTTTGGAATAACATACTACAATGCAAGCTCACGTGTTATTTATTTTTGTAATTAGCAGCACAGTAACGGTCGGTAACGCTGGTGGTAACACCTCAGGATAGGATAAGATTTCAGTGGGAGGCATGGTAATTAAATCCTTCGGCTACTCGTGTACTAATCAGAGCACATATTCAGGCAGTCAGGACAATAAATAAATAATGAATTGATGAAATTGACTTTGTCCAATGTTTAGTTCTTGGCGACGAATATGGTATTTAAAATTAAGAGCTGGGAATACCAACGTGATTCCAAGTAAAAAAACAACAACAACAGAACACAACGTACGTCATCGGAAGGCCGATGATTCATATCCAAGAGTGCGGCCGCCAGAAAAAGAATGAACGAGTGAGTTTGTGTTGCTGGACGTGTCAACTACCTAGACCATTTCCCTACTCAAGAGTTGAGGATATTACCCAGTGAGGGTCAGTGTTTCTGCTGTTGGAATGAGACTGTAGTAATTTTTACTACTTACTACTACTAACTAAGCAAGAAATATGTAGTAATCCGGCTTAAGAGCTTAAGCCGGCTTAAGAGCGTCCCCCCTCCGGGTATCTTCCCTCGCGGTGCCCCTTTCGAGACTAGATTTAAGCTCCCGACTGGTCTCCTGACTTGTGTGACAGGGTCTGTCTGTATTGGCTGAACACCTCCTTAGAGGGTCAAGGCCTACCAGTTAGGACCATGGACTACGGGATTTGCGTGGTTACTACATTGTCATCCCCACGCCGTATTCTGGTCTTCTCAACCTGAGAAGTGCGCTTTCTCATCGTCACGCAGCAATATATACTAGGACATTGCAAGGAAAGCGCACACTTTAAATTTCTCTTATCGGGAATCAAACCCGGGATTGCTTCATGGAATGCGAATACGCTGACCAATGGGTTACCCTGACTGAGTGTCTGTCTGGCAGAGTAGTATTCGTAAATATGTGTGTAAGAGGAGGGGACAACTGTAAAAAAGGAAAGATTGAGTGTAGTCCGTGACTCTTTTTTTAGGGTACATCTCCGCTATTCGTCCGGTGTAGATCGAAAAAACCCGATAAAGTATCTATCAGATAAGTTTGCCAATAGACTAGAATAGACCAACTATTCCGGACAGCAAATTAATGCAACCTAGCTATGTAGCTGTTGTCGAAATTCCGCCACTGCCGGGACACGAATCCTAGTACCTCTTTGAAATTCATCTGATGCAAGTGTTACCGCTAATATATTGTTGCTGGGTTAAAAACAACAAAAATAACAACTTTGGAAAAGGAGAACGTACCGAGTTCCACCAGGCAGACGTCACAACACCCGCAGCGAATCGTACGACCGCTCGGGCAGTCTTCGGGCAGTATGCCCCTGCATCGAACTGTACTGCAGTCTTTACTCGGAAAACAAGGGATGATTTCTGGTCGGTGTGGTATAGGGAAGACAGGAGAAAACTCCATAGCTTCCTCGGCGTTTGCTACCAACAGAAGAGTTAGCAGCAATGCTGCTACCGCGTGCCCAAACTGAAAAACATTAACAGAATCAACAATTACATTGGCATTTGCCAATACTTTTTATATAATATAACTTTGTATGTAACAATTTCGCCCCACGGCAAAACCAACTAATACCGTAATCCATTTGAAAGGCATACGTCATCCATACATCAGGCATACCATTTGAAACGTATACATCTATCCTTTGTAAAAACAAATTTGATACATGAAATTTTATCATTTATAATTTTTTTTAATTTCAAATGGGATTTAATCGTGCGCATTACTACATATTTCAGTATCTTTTTGAGTTAGACATTTTACTTGTTCAATATTACTTTACTCCCCCAATTTCTACATTGTGTTTTGTTATTGTAAAATATTCGTATTTTCGATTTCCTTATAGTCTTTGTTTTATGAAAATAATGTAGTCCATAAATTACTCTAACTTCAGAGTAAAACATTTCTAATTTTAAATATTTTAAAGGAGTCATTGAACGCTATCTATAAGAACCAAGTATTTGTTTACAAGAGGTCACGCAGAAAAAAGTTCGACAATGTTTTGCTAACTTGGGCTAACATCCGCAACTTTCCATACTATTTACTTTCATGAGTCTTTCTACAGTTGTTTACATCCAGGAAAATAGTGGTTTTTTGCTGTTATTGTACACAAAATAGATATATGATCGACAAAATGTTAATGTCATATCCAGATGGATTTTAAATTTTATTTCTCTTTTACGACTCGAAAGTTTTAAAGATGCTAGCTGAACACAAACAATTCAATGACAGTATCTCTTTTCGATTTTGAAGCTTTATTATTTTAATGCAATTATTCATTCCTCAAGGTTGACTCCTCCCTCTTTATAAACACGCACGCACACTTTCATGCACTAAAATAATTCGGGCGACCAGCCGAAAGCTTAGAGTTGGTTCCGGCTGGAGTAGTGCCCCGCTAAAGGAGAAACGCTTGCTGACGTGCTAGTTAACGTACTAGCAGACAAGTTCGTGACCGGATCTCGTGGACCAGTGAAGGAGACACACTGCCGTCACTCAAATTGTATCATGCATAGTGTTGGTAGAATTTAACATTTTTAATATTAAAAAAAATCGCATTTTCAAATCCAGGCTGTAGAATTTTATAGCATTATAAAAATTAAGTATTTGTAATTTTGTAGTATTTGTTGAGAAAATTATTATTAAGGGAGGTCTCATTTAGCTTGTGTATAACACTCTTCAAAGGAGAGAAAATTTATTGTCTTGGAAATTGTAAATACTTAGAGAAACAACACAATACATTCTTTTGAAAGGTCATACATTTTGTTAAATGAAATCAATTTATATAAGTAAATACCTATTATCACTATGAAACACAATCAGTGCAAAATTAGCTCAGACGATATTTCAATGTTGACTGCCTTTCAACTGTTTCTTCTGTCAGTAACAAATAAAGATTAATAATTAAATTGTATCGACTGAAAAATCGTTCAGCTTATACACTTCACCATTGTCAAATCAAACGTTTTCAAACATCGATGTGGTGTTATGGTCGACCACTAGTTAGGAAGAAAACGTGAACGTAACCATATAATGAAATTTAACTATTATATCGCACATTCACTGTCATGTCGCACTTTGTAAGTGACTCCGCATTATGTGATTGATTTCGCATTTTATCGCAGATTTATAACCTACATAAGTATACTGCACCGACCATCAAACATACAACTACTCTTATTTTCAGCGATTGGCAACATTTAGCATTTTTAGCAATTGCTAAAATCTATCATCTCTAATCATGCACCACACACTCGGGTCTTATTGTCATACCTGTTGATGCGCACGGAAGCACCATCCGCTACCTCACTGTCACTACTGCCCGCCCCGCCTTCCGCTTACCTGTGCGCTGCAGAGCCGCATAGTGGCGGCGTGAGGAGCTGGCTGTGCACCTGCCGAGCGCCAGCGACCGTCAGCGTTTTATTCGCCGCGCGCCGCCCGTCCCCTGGCACGTGCACACGTTCCCGATTGCCCGCGTGATAGGGCGTTCGGCGCCGACACACACGGACGCTCTCTTCGCCCAAACATCCCAAGGGGGCTCCGGAGATCCGCGCTGATACAGCAGCGAATGCAAGATAGCCTACACAGTAATCCGAACTGAGATAGATCATGGAAACGGTTGCCTTAATTCCCAGATAAAAGTACACTCTGGAATAATTTTTCTAAAACCAAAAAACCAAAGAACCAAGAAACACTGATGCCTGTAGCAAGAATGAAGTGTGAACTATACATTAAAATACTCCAAATATGTTTGTATCGCTAGTTAAGAAGAAAGTGAAATTTGTCTTCCAAGAGGATCTCACGCCATATCACACTTCAAAGACAGTGCCCCATTTTTAATAATAATGCAAATCCTTTTTTGCTTGAAAGGAGCTGACGAACAGTATCGTACGCATTAACGATAGCCATTTGACGTCTGATCTCAAATTATTTTGGAACCTAGAACGAACCTAGAACTATATATCTCTTTCATAAACATCAACTAGTGTACTAAGTACAACAGCGTATTCTTTCACACATATTTTGTAACTTTTGCAAATTTGGAAATATTATAAAGTTCAGTGAAAAATAAACAGGGGCAGTTTTTAAAGTACTTTATTCTATCCTCGGGAAAATTTAAAGAAAATAATTAGGGAACGAAAAATTGTCTGTACTTTAAGCAACAATTCCGCAAATTATTCATTTTTCAAAATATTTAAACGGCTTAATTTACTGATAAAAATACAAATCAGATTTCATTAAGAAAAAAATCTAAATTATCAATATAGTAGTTTTGCAATACAATTTATTTTTGCAACAACACATAGTTTCCCTCACTGTTCCTAAATTGGAATTTTTTTACAAGTTGGCAATTATAATTAATTTCAAGCAAAAATTATGTGAAAATAACGCGATTCTTCAATAGACTGTGCATGAATGTTTAAAGATCTGAGTTTTAAAAACAGTCAAAGATCCCTTTCTTCAATTTTTGAATTTTCGAAAATACAAAGAGTTCAGCGGAAATTAGACTAGCACCAATCTTTTTCCCGTCCTCTGATACAGAAAAGAGGAAATTTAATGAAAAATTGGTGCTGCATATATGAAAATAATTGTTTTAAAAAGTTTTAAAATTGCCTATATTTCATTTCACATGCCTAAAAAATTATTCGCAAACAACTCATATTTTCGAAAAATTGCACATTACTGAATTCAAAATGTTTCTTTAAATAACATATTTGATTCAGGAAAAAATCTTTATCTTGAATATTGCAGATGACCAAAAATTGAACTTTTCCAATTTTCAAAAAATTAGGTACTTCAAAGAAAATGGGTCCTGTGTCATTCTCTTAAGCGTCCTATACGCTGACCAAGAACACAGTTTAATCCAAAAAGTTGCAGCAATTTTGAGAGAATTTTGAAATTGTTGTTGGAGCTTCGTGTAAAGTACCCTAAAAATCAAAATATCAGTTTCAAACGTCGAAATCTACAAGTCTGTTTTATCGATGAAGTAATATCAGTTTTAGAGAAAGTCGGCTGAACGCTTTAGATGCTAGTTTTGACTGTAGATGGACATATTGACAGACAGACTGACGGAAATACTGACGGATAGATGGAGGGCCAGACGGACGGCCAGACGTTTTGCCGTCAGTCAATATTTTGCTATCAAAGGCCCACAAAACATGGATTCTGGCAACACGTTTTGGGGGAAGTAGTATTCTTCGATCAAGATTAATCCGCTTTTACGTTACTAATCTCGTCACGTTAACAGCAATTTTTCTGTCAAAAATTCGCTGTTTTTTGTTTTCATTCCGAACGATAACAATATTTTCATTTCTTACGAAGTAAGAGTGAGAAATTAAACGAGAAGTGCTACAACAGCCCATAATCTCTCGCAATATTTCTAAAGTTGCAAACATTAAAAAAAATCAATAGAAATGAGACTTGCGCCATTTTTTAAGCATTCCTTATTCTAAGAGTGGGAGAAATTTCAAGAAAAATTTAGAACGGTTTTTGAGAAAGTATCTCTTTTAATAATTGCATTAATTTCAAGGACAAATTATGCAAATGAGTGACCATTTTTAATGAGTTGAAAACAGTTTTTATTTAAGAAAAAAATCTCTTACTTTAATTTTGAAGTTTTGAAATGTTATCATGAGATTAGCATCACATTTCTTTACCTTCTTTTGATAGATACGAAGGGAAATTGAAAGAAAAAATGAAAGGAAACATTTTTAAAATGTCTATAATTCACGTAAAATTATGGGAAACTATTCACATTTTCAAAACACTGTACATTACCTTATTTCAATATTTGTTTTTAAAGAACAGATTTCACTAAGAAAACATCCCAATCTTCAATATTGTAGTTGTGTAAGAAGACGCTGAAATAAATTTTAACTTTCGCAATTTCCGAAAAATTAGGGATTTCAACTAACGTGAGACCTGCATCATTCTCTTAAGTGTCTGCGCTATCCAAGGACAAAGTTTAATAAAAAAAATTAGAGCTATTTTTGAGAAGATTTTGAAAGTGTTGTTGAGGTATCATGTAAAGGATCTCAATATCCGAAAGAAGTGGTAAACTTTTGCGATATGCGATTGTGTTTCAAAATAACGAGTTTTGAGTTGCCTTTTCTACAATGAGTAAGGCAAATGTGTGTGGGAAATAGTTGAATAGAAATTTCATCTGCGAATAGCTTAATGAAATCAATTTTAGATGCAAGGAAATTCAAAGTACAATTCTCGTTCTAGAAATTTGAGTAATCCAAATACCTTGTTATTTGATCTATGTCAATTCAACTGTTTAAGATTGTGATGGAATATATTTCCTTGTTACTTTGACCTAATGAAGCAGTAACAAGCGCCACTTCTTGATAATAACATGAAAAAATGTCTCTTTATCATAACTCATTTACATAATAAATTACTTTCAAGTTAACGAGATATCAGAAATAAAATTTGAAAGAGAGAATTTGAGTTACGGAATTTCGAGATATGTACTTAATGTATTGATATGTAATTATCACGATCATACTAGTTTAACAGATAGTGTTTGATTTACGAAGCACACTAGAGTTTCAAGTACTCTGCGAAATATAATTTGAGAATCTCGAATTATGCAGTCGTCCCGACCAAATCGACATCCATATGATCTGGGCTGTCCGGGTGACGCCACGTCAAAGGCTATTTTGACCACGTTTCGACCATCTTTTCGTGGTCTTCCTCAGAGCTGGTATGCATACCACGCTGGTCGAAACGACGGCAACACAGCCTTGGACGCGGCGTCACCCGGACAGCCAAGATCATGCACATGACTCTGGCCGCGGAAGCCTACGACTTCCCACTTGACATCTCCCGTAAACTTCTGCCGCTGTGTCTCTTTCACGCTGCAGCTGGTCGGCCGACGAGAGGTGGCACCCGCTAATACCCGCATGAAAAATCCAGTTCTGCTTATCTTTATGCATGAGGCTCCGCGCATGAGGAAGAACGCATCATCTAAACGACCAAACGACTCCTGCAACGGGACCAGGCCTCGCGCGGTCTGCTCCATGTGTGCCTCTGTGTGTGTGTGTGTATGTGTGTGTGTGTGTGTGTTTGTGTTTATGACAACCGGATGCGACGTGGTGAAGTTCGCTTTATCGGACGTAACGACGTGTGAGGGTCGAGGCGGCATTTGCATCCCGTATCTTTGTTACTGGCGCCGGCTGCGTGGGGAATGTTGGCGACAAAGGAGAGGATTTTAGGATTTCCGGGTTGGATATTATCCCACGTGGAAACGTAATAGAGTATGGGCGTACGCACATAGGGGTGGTGGTGGAGGCAGCCAGACCGACATAACCTTACGTAAAAATATTTTAATTAATTAAATACGTTACGAGTAAATTCTTACTAAAATGATGTGTAGATACATTTGGAAATTTACTGTGATGTCAAACTGATGGACACATTCGTGTTGTTACAGTACTTTATTTTCACAGTATCATTTTCAGAATCCATTATTATCTTATTGCCTAGGGATACAAAATTTGAAACATCGCCGTTTTACATAATTATAAAAGTCAACATTTCTACTGTATGTTTTAATGTTAATAGGGGCGACTCGAGGAAATGTACAGGTACTGAATTTTAAGCTAAAGAATTTTTCTTGAAAAAATGCATGGCACAAATTCTCGCACTGTATGCAATCTAGAGAACTAAACTGCATGAAAACTAGAGAACGAACATCCGTGGGATGGCAAGGTGCTGCAGCTTTCGACTAAAATAGAAATCTAATGTTTCCGTAAGAGGGGAAAAACAGAGTCTAGGTTTGGGATGTTTGGGAAATGTAGGTCCACCCCTTCTCCATGCCTTACGTTGGTGACCGCGCAGCTCTAAAATGAATCCTTCACCAACAGTCGATATCATTGTAATGTTTTCCCCCACTCATCTCTTTGCTCGTTCTCATGTTTTGTATTTGTATTCAAAACGCGAAAAACGTAAGTGAGCTGCCGACATGACATAGAGAGTAATAGCGTGACATCTAATACGGAAAAGTAATGTTTTCGTTTCGTAGTCGTCGAAAACTAGCGGGAATGAGCGGGTGGGAAAACTAATGAGAAAGACAAAATTTTTCATTCTCTTATCGTCACTATTACTTAACACTTGCTCATATTTTTGTTAACATGTACGTGACATTATTTCAAGATCAAAAATTGAGGAATAAGTTGCATTGAGAACGCAATATCCGCCTACAATGTTTGGGATTTCTGACAGGCTCGAAAATATATTTGAACTTTGTAATTTTCGAAAGCACATGTTTTAATAAAAATCGTATATTTACAGTTTTTATATGTGTCCTTTTTGCTATTACAGCAAAAAGAATTAAAACTTTCTTCCACTTTGCAGTCAAGTTTCGATATTTCACAGTGGCTTCATATCAAGTAATCCTTAAAACTTAAATATACTGATGATCTCCAGAACGGTACTACATCTTATTCCTTTCATATTTTCCACGTTTGAACGCAAAAACAGATAATCTTCGCAGATGATCTTCTCCCCTATACGTCACATACGGTGTTTACAGTTTTTTGACTAAATAAATCTAAAGTATCTAATATGACCGAGTTATGCACCGAGCACATATAAGTGCATCACATCCGTTCATCCCTCCATCCGATTTTCTGGTACGAAATTGCGTGTATCTTCTCGCTATTTTCACTACTCTTAACCATTTTTGGAAAACAATAATATATTTTAATCCTCATGCACATGTCTGATGTACATGTCTTAATCCTGGTTACATGTCAAAAGCCCCTTAAACATGGATTTTATGTCCAAAAATATGAGACAGTGTTGTTGAGGCTATTCCAATAATTTGATATAAAATATGGAAGTCAAAATTTAAAAATTGGGAAAGAGGACCCCATCCCAATCATTGGGTTAATTGTTAAGTAAAGTATAAAATTACACATTTGCTTTAAAAGCCTTCTCTAATCAATCAGGTTTGTCGTATTTTTTGTTTGTTTGGAACTAAACTCTTTACCAACTCACACATATTTTATTTGTATTCAAATGTAACGAATTTTCGAAAGAAAACAATGGAGGTAACTTCTCACCCACACGAAATCTTAACAGATCTGTTGGCGTGACGTACGATGCGTGTAATAACATGACAGCGTGAGGTTTAAGTGGACAACGTAATGTTTTGGTACGCGCTGATCCGCGAAAAAAACAAGGCCCTCCCCTACGTTTGAAATGTTTAGGAAATGGAAGTTCATTCCGACCCGACGGTACATTCTTTGCGTTGACTACCGCTAACGCTGAGTCGTGGAATTAGGAAGAGGAAGAGGTGGACTGCGTTGACAGCATCCGCCGTTGCACCGCGCAGCCGACACAATGGCGAGGAGCTGCCTGGCTCATTCGCATACAATGGCAGGAGTCGCGGACGTTTTGCTAGGGGCAGGAAAGGCGCGACCTGGGGTGTGAACGCGGACATCCCGGGCGAGGCCACGGAGCGCTGGAGTTGGATGAGGTTTTAAGCACTACTGAGAGTTTCTTGAACCTGCTACAAGGTTTGCTGTGCAGCCGTATGTACATATCCAGAAAAAACAAACAAAGAAATGTTCGAAAAAATGTCGAGTTCTTCGCACATTTTAAAAGTATGAAAACTATTCAGAAAATCAGTTTTTTAATATAAATCTGAAGTTGACCTGACTTATATTATGTATTTTTGGTTAAGTTCTTTATTTATCGACTAAGACGGGCGGAAAAGCATAACCTACATTGCGACATTGACGCCCTGGTTGAAACAATGAATTTCTACGTTCACTTTTTTCCAGTTTGGTAATGATTCTGCTGATATTATACATAGACCACATGCGAAAAGTATAAGTTTACGAGCATAATAGGAGGTCGTCTTATGAGTTTTTGACACTTATGAGTCTATTTTATCTCTAGGAAAATGTTTTATTACAGTGCACGTATTCATTAAAACGAATACATAAATTCTCATTTGAACTTTGTAAAGGATATTTGCAGCTAAAGACTTTCTGAAAAGACATTCTTTGCCATCTATTTGTTTGAGCGTTTGCGTGAGCTAGTACGTGTGGTCAGCAAGTTACCTCCTCCGTAAACCCATTAGGAACACGTTTTCGTTCATAATGTAATAGAGACCTAATACTTCGATTAACGGATCTTCATTTGGAAACTATTGGCGGAGGAAAGTGCTGCAAACAAGCTGACTCGCCTGCTCTCCGGTTGAATAGCACCCAAACGTCTCTTACAAGATGTTGGGAACGTCGGCCCAAAGAAAGCTACCAATTCATCAAACTTTCCGCGAACTTTTCCCCCCGGAGAGCACTAGAGCGTCACGCAGAAGTTGGTCAGTGGCCGTCGAGATTTCGACCGCCCTTTCTTTGAGCGGCGTCAGGGAATCCCGAGGATGTCGTGCGGCAGATCTCAGGACGTAGCGAAGGGGGCGTTTTGGTTGATTGATTAGTAATTCCGTGCACGGCAACTGCTAAGATCATTAGTCCCCTAAGTGCACTCCATGTATTTGTCGCTGGAGGTGACGCTGATTTTTCACGACTGGCTGCCGAGATCCGGCGCCGACCTACGTCGGTTTGTGAGTTTTTTCCCAATCAGGTATCTCCCACCGGCTGCCCTCAAGCTCTAAGCTCCCAATTGAGCTCCTGACACGTGAGGTAGTGTAATGCATGTGAGTGTAAATGTGTGTAAGTACGGTGTAAGCAAAGTACAAGGAAAAGGAAGGTGAGATCGCGCGCGATCCACGGCTCGTCTGTGAGGGTGCTGTACGGGCATTCGCCTAGTCTTGATGGAAGTAATCACCGAAAGATACCGATTAGAGCAGCCGGACCCTATAAATCTACATGAGACAGCGACTGAATGCGCTTACCTATCCAAATAGAACCTGCACCGTCGAGATTCGAATACTTCGAATACTTCCTGCTCAAAGTCACCTCAGAAACATCAGTTGATGTAAGGCCGGTACAAACGGGTCGTTTTGGAAAGCGACGATGTGTGAGGGTAGGGAGTGGCGTGGCGAGGAATTGTCGGAATATGAGGTGGGAGGATCGATTTGGAGACGTTACGGGGCTGCATGGAACCGCAAACGATGAGAGGGTGCGGTCAATAGTGAAGGGTGAAAGCGAATATCGAGGGTGGAAGTGTTGTTGGAAGAAGAGAGATGGATGATTGGCCAAAAACGGTCGGGGAGAGACAGAGCAAAGAACTCGGCGAAAGCGAGCTGAAGGGCGTCCACAAGACTACGTACGATCGAGATCGGATTGTAGGATGGAAAATGGATGTTGTATCAGAGGGAGGAGGGGATCGAAAACTCGTATATGGGGAAGGCGGGGCTGAACGTAATAGTGGACACATAGAAAAAGTAAACGGAGCAGGGAGATGGGAGTGGTGGTGATGTGAAGGTGAGGGGGTATTGGGGGACATAAAGGCGATCGAAGAGGAAAGGTATTGAAATGGCCGAGAGGTGGGATAGATCTGGCGGAAAGTAGGGTTGTGGAGACGGAGCAGTAAGGAGTTACGAGAGTGGGAGAGTTGAGGCTAGTGAATTGTACGAGTGAGTTAACTGGATAGGAGTTGGGAATGGGAGCGAATAGTTAGAGATGTATATTGGGGAGAAGTGGACCATGTTGGGAAGTGGAGGGAAAGATGAGGTGAGACGGGTAATTTAGCGTTGTAGGGAGATTGGTGAGACCGTGTAGAAATGGACGGGGCTGGGAGTGGGAAATGGCGGGCAGTGGACTAAGCAGGGCGAAGAGGAGCTGGATGGAGCGAGGAGCAGGGCGTCACGGAGTCGACATGGTGGAGAAGTGCGTTGAACAATGAGGTGGAGTAGACGGGGTTACATGCGCCGAGGACAGGTGAAAGACGAGAGGATTGGTTCATAATTCCTTCTTCCTCGGTCCCTCAACTGCTACGGTCATTAGTACAGTAAGTGTTTTAAGTGTTTTGGTCATCTTCTGTCACGGGAGGTGGTGATCATCTGACGTTGATTGATGAGATGCGGCGCCGAACTTCACGTCGGCATGT